TCTCGTCGTCTTATCCGTCTCTTCTGCCTCTTGCAAGAGATTCTCAATGGAGACGCGGAAGAGAGGGGCTCTGGAGGGCAAAAAAAGCACCGACCGGTACACGCCTCGCGAGAAGCCGTCTCGAGTGCGCGCGCTTTTTTTTCCCTCCGTGTCTCCGTCTGCGAGGGAGCGTGGACACCGTCGGAGCGTAAGTGATTGCCCGAGATCTTGACGCATATCAAATGCCCCCCCCCCCCTTCCCCCAACCCTCGATACATCGGGGCAAGAAGTTTATTACGTCGCTCGCGCGATTCATGTCCCATTTTTTTTTTGCCCCCGTCCAGCGCGCTCTGGATTGATATTTCGAGCTGCTGATGATGAGAGAGCGTCCGGCGAATGGGAGAGATATATGGATCGATGTTTCGTGGCTTGATAGGAAAATCATATCAGTAGTCGAGTGCCTGGAGAGCATATGATGATGAATAGACGAGGAACGGGTGAAAGGCTTTTACTTTTTTTTTCTCCCCCAAAAAATAGGTACCTACTCGTTTCACGAGATTTTTCGATAAAAATTTGTGAATTTATTCGTACGAGTTCGTTTGTCCATGGTTTTTCTTTTCTAGATGAATAGTAGTTTCAGAATCATCAAAACTCTCGCTCGTGTGGATCAATTTTTTCATTACTCGAAACAAAATACAAAAATCGCTCTTTCCCGGCCGGACAATCGCTCTTCATCAGTGCCTCGTTTTTCTCATCCATCCGCTCCGTTTGTGGAAATTGAAAAAAAAATAAAATAAAATAAAAAAAAAAGAGAGTGAGAACAAAAAAAGAATTTAGGACAACCCCGTGCGTCAATTAAACTCATCGAGAAAATCCAGCACCCTCGAAATTCGAGAGCACATCTCCCCTTCCACGGTATGATATCTCGTTCGTAACGAGGCTCGAAGGGGAGAAAGAAAAAAAAATCCAAAAGAGAGAAAGAAATCAAGTGGTCGGAGGAAAAAAGGGAAGAAAAAGTACCGAGTCCTCTCCTCCCTCCCCCTGGTGAAAACTACCGATCTCTCGCGCGCGAATTAGCAAGCGAAAAGAGAAACTATACGTACAGGGGGAGCAGTTTCCTCGCGCTTGAGCAGCCATGCATATTCGGATGATGCCCTTACGTGTCCGCAACGCCGTAGTTATATTCCCTCGGCCCCAGTTTCCTTTCCGTTGATGCTAAATTGGCCCCCAGTCTCCGAAGAGGACGATGTGAAAGGAGAAAAACCAGGAGGGAAAACAGCGCGAAAACGGAGCTTGGTGCGTGTGGGCTCGCGAATAAATGAGGGGCACACGCGGGTGCGTGCGATTTCGATTTTTGCATTGCTCCCGAGATTTAATTTTCCCTGCAGCCGCTCGGTGCTTTCAAAAGTACACGAGGGAGCAGCCGGGCGAGCATCTGATTGACTTAATTCTGATACGGCTCTCAAGAGAGAGGGCTGGCTTCTTCTTCCTTGGCTCGAGCTCCTTGTCAGCGCGCCGGGGGGCGACGGGGAGCTCGCGATCGCTTTTAGCGACGACGTCGTTGGTGCAAAAGGCAATTTCGAGATTAAACAATTAGGGGAATGCGAAAATGTAATGAAAGCCGCGACGCTGCGAAGTTATCTTCTCCTCGAGGTACGCGGCAAGGGGTGTGTGTGTATATTTGTGGGTGTATACTTACCTGTGTACAGGAAAGTGAGCCGTAGACGAGAGAAGATGGGTCTTTTTAGGTACCTTAGAGTTATTCTGCTGATGTTTGTTGATTAAAAGTATCAATGTCCTTGTTGATTATTAAAAATATCATTTTTGGGCATGTATTTGTCGTTGACTCTTTGATGATAATTTTACTCTACCTGTTCTGGGTATACCAGAAGACATACGTCTTGGTATCCAAAAGGGTTAAACTCGCGGGTACTGTTAAAGCGCTAGTTCAACCAATTCAAGGTTGTACGAGTGAGGGAAGGGTGTGCGTGCAATTAAAAAAGTAATTTTACAGTGACTCGCGAGCCCGGAAATAAAGAGATTTTTTTTCTTTTTTGCAAAGTGAGTGTACCTACCTGCATAAAATATAAGCGTATGTATAATGCATGTGCGTAATACGTCCGGACGATTCCGCGAGCACGACAGGAACGTTAATTTTCCAGATGCCCGGATAATCTCGCCGACACTTGATAGTCGCACACTCCGCAGCTTTGTCCGACTTTCTCTTGTCTCGCTTCATTTATCCGCTACTGCTTTCTCTTGTATATAAAAGATGTAGATTTAGATTTAGATTTATTAGGCTAAGGGCCATAGTCCCAGAATAGCCTTGATAAGGTAAATACAAATGAGACACAGTGATTGATACATTAGAGCTGCATAGCAGCAAAAAATATGTGTCAGCATAAACAGTGGCGCAGAAAACAAGTATAAAGTAAAGTAAAGTACAATTAAAATTAAAAGAATAATTGAATGAATTTAAAAGTAAATAAAAGAAATTAGAGGGCCGTGTAGCCGGTTGTCTCGTGATCGAATTAAATCCAATAGTCTGTGCTTGAAGCCGAGTCTAGAGAAACTCATACGGAGGCTGACAGGTAACCTGTTCCATTCTCTGGCCGCTGCGACGGTGAATGAAGTTTTGAATATGTCCAGAGCGGCTTTGGGTACGAAGAGTTCTTTGGTGTTTGATCTTCTGGAACAGACTGTATCTGATAACGTAATTTTAAAGGCAAACCTATCTGCGAGGTAGGTAGGAATTCCAGTCTTGAGGACACAGGCCAACAGACTAAGCATGCAGTAGAGGATCCTGCTGCTGAAAGACAGGATGTGATGCTTGCGGTATGCTGGTGTGATGTGTTGCGATTTGCGCATGTTTTCGACAAAGCGGAGAGCGGCATTTTGCATCGACCTAATTTGATCGTCATCTCGGCTGAAAGTCCGTATAGCAACGCTGCACAGTACTCGAGTCGTGGAAAAACCAGTGATTGAACGAGAAGTAGCTTTGTATTACAAGGTATGCAGTCTTTAAGGCACTTGAGTTTTGCAAGCGCAGAGAAACAGTTGGCGGCGGTGGCAGTGCAATGAGGTCTCATAGTGAGAGATGAGTCAAGGAACACGCCGAGGAGCTTGATGGTGTCACTGGTGTCGATGATGGCCTCATTGATTTTGATAGGAGGTAAAGTTTGGTTCATTTTATTCTTAAATCCCCAGGTTCCAAACCAAATGGCAACAGTCTTCAGTGCATTTACTATTAGGCCGTTCTGTTCGGCCCAGATAGAAATTCGCGATAATACTGAGTTAACTTGTTCGATAAGACGCTCGGCTTCTTTGACATGGCCATGGAAATAAAAACAGAAGTCATCAGCATAAATGTGGTAGCCACAATCCTGACAGACAGCAAGAAGATCGTTAATGTAAATTGAAAACAGGAGGGGTCCAAGTAAGCTCCCCTGCGGCACGCCGTTGCTGCGAAACAGAGTCTGAGAGAGTTCACCATCTGGTGAGCGAACAGTCTGTGTGCGATTTGATAAGTAAGATTCGATCCATTGCGCGGCAGGGTCTGAGAAACCGTAACACTTGAGCTTGTTGACAAGTAGATCGATGTTAACAAGGTCAAAAGCTCGAGTCTGATCAATGGAGGCAAGAGAGTGAGAGGAACAAAGACGTTACTCGCTCGAGCACACTTGAAAACAGAGCCCGTGGGCCTCGGCAGAGTAGACAATATTCCTCGCGATCGCTTTTCCCGAGGCGCTAATGTCATTATCATGCGCACGAAAGAAGTTCGCGCCAAGAGCAGAGACGGATCATCCGTTGAGAAACGGAGGATGGTGGGAAACATTACAACTTTTCCCACCAACGCTTCGTGTACGCGTCTGAGTTTTCATTTTTTGATCAAGAGTCGCGAGAGCCTGGAGGTTGATGGGTAATTTTCAGGAAACTCCATTACAGGAAATTCGAGATTTTTATGCGCTGTTATTACGCGTAACGCAATTCAAGCGTACGATTACTTTGAGAGTGTTATAGGGTGCCGGAGGAAATTGGTTTATCGGCTTGGAGGAAAAACCATTGAATTATCATGATTTCCAATGAAGATTAACTAATGGATCCTTTTCATTTTTAAGTATATTTCATTACGTTTCGTTCGAAAATTCGATCCGTGATTGTAAGATGGTTCATTTTAAAATCAAACCAGTATTGGAAATTACAAAAACATGTTCACTATCAAAACATCTGTTTGATTATTTTGTGCTAGTCAGCGTTACTTATCAATTCTCGTGAAAACGCTGGATTAACACGTTACGTAAGCCAAATGACTCGGGACTCGGCGAGGCCTCACTACTTTTCTATTTTTAATTTTTTCCGTACCTCGTAAGCAATCGACTAGTTTTTTTACAACTCGTGGCATAATAATACGACTCTGAAAAAAAAAGATAAAACTTGTTTTCTCAACAAAGCTGCGTTCGCCACGTCGTATAAAAATAAAAACGGTCCATTTTGAGGCATCACGCAGCATAATAGCAATTGCGTTGTTCTCTAAAGTAAATCCCTTCGAGTTACGTAAGTTGCTTATTAATTAATGCTTTTAATTATGTACGGGTGTACCTAATAAAAAAAACTTTTGCATTTGAAAGCAACACATGTATTTATAAAAAATAAAACCCTTCGAACAAGCCCGACAGTCGCAATTGACAAGAAACAAGATAAAAATAATCAGCAGGTACTGAAGATGAACTTTTTTTGCCACAAGTGAAAAAAAATGGGGAAAAAGAAAAACCAAAGGATCCATAAAAAAAACTGCCCTCAGTAACAACAAGCAGCAACCAACCACCAGCCAATATTATACCTCTCGGGTGCGTTTCCCGCGTGCGATCGCCGCCGAGAAGCGTCTCCATAGCAACGTCACCGCGGTCGGCTTGCGCAGACTCGCAACCCGTCCGCACGGAATCACCGGCACAGCGTCAAAGCGGCCAAAAGAGCGACGACCGCGCCAGTGCACGCGTGGACTGCTGACCGAGCGCATATCGTATCGCACGTCAGTGTCCATTCTTTCGTCTTCGACCCTCTTTTCTCGTTTCACCCGCACTGTCATTATCCCTGGGGGATATCACCCGCTCGAGTTAGTCGTCCCGAGCGCGCGCTCGAGCCCGTATACACACCTTTGCGGAGTGACTTTGATTTTGCCAACTCGTACAGCTGTAGCAGGCTTATTTTCTTTAGTGGCTTTCTGAGGGCCCGAAGTAGGAGGAGCTCAAAGAATCAGCTGCTTGCCGTTTACTGTGCTATACAACTCGTTCGCTGACCCTCTACAAGTATATATTTGCTCTCTACCGAGGATCGGACCGTAGAAGGTATGTTCTCAATGATGAATTACCCTACACTAAGAGAAGAAAAAAGGTATAATGAAATGCACTATGCTGGAATGGGGCTGACGTCTAGAGAGTTTGTACAATATAAATTACTGTCCGGAATGGTAAAAATTAGGGTGCCAAAAATAAAAAGTCTCCATACAGCGGAATAACAACAGGTTACCATTCCTGCACAGTAGTTTTTATTATTTTTCTTCTCCCCCTGTATTCAATACTGTGTTAGTGATTCCGAAATATTTGTGATATCAGTTGAAAGCTCAAACAGAGTGGTAATATTGAACTTAGTTTTTTTACACCTACTATTCGTCTCTTTCTAAAAAAAATCTACCTGGAAGAGTACTGGTTTCAAGCTTTGGGATGTTTCTTTCGACAACAAAAGAGGTTGTGGATACCCAACAATGGTCATTTCATATCCCTGAAATGTAAGCCAAACCATTGATCTCCGAAAGTTGAAACCTTTGTTCTTTTCATGGTTAATTTGGATCTAAATACAGTAACGTCACTAACCATAGGATCGACTTAAAAAGGTAAAAAAGGTTTAAAGCTGTTGTTTGATAATACATAAACTTTCTTACTATCAATGAAACAAACCATTGACTGTCGAGTCCTTTGAGGATATTTCACTCGGCTTCCATCGAGTCCATATAGCTTTATTAGTGACCAAAATAGTATAGAAGACTTAACTTTTCCAAGAACAATAATAGTTCCACTAATGTATCCCGAAGGAAGGCTTACGAGTTCAAAATACACTCAACTGAAATCATGTTCCCAACTAAGAAAATGTATGACAAAAGTTTGGCTAAGATCTGTTACCCTTAACCGAAGTGTTGTAGAAGCTTCTGGTAGAACTAAAATGATGGAGAGACAATTTTCTAAAGCAGTTTCGGAAAGGTAACAAATTACGAAACATGGCTCCAACACTTGGCGTCTGACGCGTATAGGGCTTGACTACTAGCAGATAAACACAGGTGAAATAAAAATTTTATTCAGTTTGAAGATTTGAAAATTCGACACTAGTCGTAATACCAACGCAAAAATGCAGTTAAACCACTTGGTTTATTCCATTCTGTTAAAACTTGGCTATTCACTTTCGAATTCAAAATAGCGGAATATATTAACACTCGTATCGCTGCAAGCTCACGTGGCTATATCCAAATCGCGTACTATTTGCTGCATAGTGATGACGTGGAATAATCGATAAGTCTTTTGAAATATTAATTGATTTGTTCGCGTTAGCGAGTCCGGTATACTTGCGTGCCCCACGAATTGTGATTAATCAGCATATGCCATTAGATTTGATTTGATGAGTATTAACTTGGAAAATTTGAATACAAATATTATCACGAAATTATTTGTCAAGCTCGTTAATTAATTCTAATTAACTTGCAGGAAATATCGAGTCGTACAACGACTTTAACCATTAGGAATTTTTTCGATTACACTGTCCTCGACATTCCTATAATCATCCAATCAATCAATACAGACGTTTCTATGATAAGCGTCGAAATCCATTGACTTTTATTAGGACAAGATTTGCAGTAATACATACATTTTACTTGTTAAATTGAATATTACATGATATTAGAGGAAGGCTAAATTTTAGCTGTACCTTTTTCGACTCATCGCGAAATAATTTTACAAAAGTATTCGACACAATGACGTTGAGTAAAAAAGTTTATTCGAGTTTCCGTGTGAACTGGACCATCTTTTATTGCGAGTGTTTTCGGAAACTGCAAAGAAAACGATCGACTTACAACTTTGAAATTCATTTAAATTAATTTAAATTAAACTCGGTGAAGTTCTCGAGTAATTTCAAATGGGGAATACTACAGCAGCGGGTATATATACATATATATACTTGTATACTTTGAACTGGTACTCCTCACTCCCTGAAAGGATTCAATTTGAATTCCTCTGTTTCAGCGATTCGGGTACACAAAACAATGTTAAGTGCTCAGTTAAATTTCCATCAATATTTATAAAACCAAAAGCCCACTCGCCTATGTGTAAAATATATACGTCATTGATCATTAGTAGCGTTTGCAACGATAAAGATACTTTATTCGTCTAGCTCGAGGGGATATCGGACTATGCGTATTCTTTTACTCGGTCATTACGATATTTCCTCAAAATTTATTTTAGTTTCCGACTCCGTGGAGCCATATCCAGTGTCCATTTCCCTGTAAATAATGCACCCCCCCCCCCTGCTGCAAGCACTAACCAAGCCCCGTCATTGGTATAGTACAAAAGCACGTGTCGCGTAGTGTGGAGATCGCAGTCCGAAAGCAGAAAACAAAAGCTCCGTTATAGCCTGTTTTCTGCGGCGTACATCCATAAAACTTTGTCCCGAAATGAAAGCAGGTACCCACACCACGTGCCATTATTGCAGCGCCCACAAAGAGTTAAGCTCGTTTCGGCCGGTCGTCAAAAAAGCTCGTGACCACGGAGAGTATCGCAGCTCCGTTGCAGAGTAAGACACATGGCGCGCACGCTCGCTTTAGGTGCCTTAGGTCTCTTTTACGGCGCCAAGACAAACGCGCGTAATATAACACGCCACGGTGATTAAAGCTTGCAGCTTATATATACCTTGCTGTATCCCTGGGCGACTAATTCCGCGAAGCTCGGACGGAGAAAGGGGATACTGCCTCTCCCTGGCTCCGAAGGGTAAATTTGTTGATCTTACCCTGCCGTTTCGAGAGTACTTAAAAGTTATAAGATGCCGGGTCTACTGCCGGTTGCGCAACTGTCTTTTTATTACCACGCGACTAGACCTGTTTTTTCGCGTTTTTCGAATACTCGGCTCTCTCGTTTTGATTTCCATTGTGCAAAAAACTCCAAATCAAATCGGTACTCTGATGACAACATGCCAAAGTTATATTTTTCGTGGCAGTAGAGCTGGTCAAAAGTCTCCTTCCAAGAAATCTAACTTGGTTTACCCAAGTGATCAGTCGGTTGGTAATATTCCTTTCCCCAAAACTCCAGTGATCTTCTCTCCATTCGTTCTTGGAAGTGCCGTACACATGATCCATTAGGCAACCATCGTTGTACTGTACCTATCCTAATACGATTAAGATAGCTCCCTTGGCTACTGCTCTAGTCAAGTAGGAGAGTTTCACTAGTCTATGTGTATACGTACATGAAGCTGATTTTCACGTCTGTCTTGGCAAATATCTTTGGAAAATGCCTCATTACCAGCATTTTACATGACACGATTGAGAAGAATTGAGATTTTTCTACAAGTACATCATCATTTGTCTGCTCAGGTTTTTTATTGTGAGTTGGGAAATGCCAGCAAAGTTGATATTTTGATGCTCTGCCATTTGAGCTCGTGTTAAACAGTTCAACTTTGAGCTGAAATATCTCGAGATTTTGCTCCACTTGGGGTATAAACAAGAACACCGTTGGATTCAGTGGATCAAAATCTATTAAATCAAACATATTTCATTCCGTAGGTTTTCGCAAGGGAGCTACCTTAAACACACTCTGGGTAATGCAGAAAAGAATATTGCAACTATTTAGGGGCGAATCTTTATGCAATTTATGTGTTTTTGCACAAAATACCCACGCAGCACTTAATTTTATGATTTCGTTATCATTTATTAGCATGAATGTACAAATTGCTGAACCATATACTAATTTGAACGAGGGAGCTTGCAAGAGCTTTTTACAGAATTTTTACTGTTTGCATTCGCGGTTTCACAACATCTGAGCAAGCTAAAACAAGCTTGTCGTTGAAACAAAACGTGTCACCATAACGACTGAAAGTAACAGGAAATCGGACTGGTAAATTCGACGAGCGCTTCAAAGCCACCATCTGTGGAAGTCCCTGTATATACACAGAGCGCTCTCTCACTCCACATTCCTGGACAGTCAGAGAAAAATATGCCCTCGATGACCCTTTATCATCATCGTGACACGACTCACGCAACTGACAACTATTCAATCGATTGCGGTGAAACGCTGGTCGAAGGAAATTAATATTAAAATTTAAAATTTATTGGAAAATAGCTCGTTTCATCTGTAACAGTATGCGAATTCCCCCCCTTTTTTTTGCAACGCACATCCAGCTATTTTCCAGGGTGATGGTTCTGGACTATATGCAGTGTAAAAATGTGACTATTGTGGAAACGCACGAGCTGTACAGCAGTGCTTGTTAAATATATAACGTTGTACCATAGGAGGAGGGCTATTTTCCCGAGAGCCTGCCTTTTCTGGCTGATAACGCCATCCCCCAGCTACGAACCACGGGAATTCCTTTGTGGGTATCCCCCTCCTTCCCCTACTTACTCCTGCTCTTTTGGAATGGTACACCTCGGCAGTGCTTCGGATACAGTGGTCGGGAGGCTGTTATTGCTGTACCTACTACTCTACGCGTAAAACAACGCTCCAGAAAAACATCCATCGCTTACATGGAGGGGAGGACGATTATCGTGCATAGATTTTGGGGAATTAGGTAGGATATGTCCATGGATCGGAATGCATTGTTGGACCAAGAGGTGAAAATTCGTTCAGTCGAGCCATCACCCGTGTTTTTGTGTTCAGTTGAGTCTCAAACGTTTATTGTTCAAGTGCGAGTAAAAAATAATTCATGGTCCACACGGCGATTTGTTTGAAGATCGAGTTTAAAAATGAAATGCCGATCAATTTTGAGTACCATTGGATTTTTCAGTTAATCTCTGCCCAACGTTATTTGTACATCTCGAATTGCAATTTGAAGCCCGATAATTCCCGTCGCTCGAATGTTTTACCCAATGTGGTGTCTCGTTTCCTCGAATCCGTAATTGACCGCGCCCTGCGTCCATTTCGACCTGCATTGAAACGCAACCCCCACACGGGGATTCCCCGCTCTATATCCCTCCACTTTTTTAGCGATGCATCTCAAATTCTCAATCATCCAAATAACGATTGGGTGTATTTCCCAGGCATTTCCCCCGGGACGTCAC